GTCTTACCCATTGAGCCAGATGCCCACATCATGAATACCCTATTTTGACTCAAACTGTCCTTGAGATTCTAGCATAGCTTTAGAAATATGCAACTCTTTTTGCCTTCTCATTTGAGATTGTTAAATATGTAATTACTAACATATTGCCAAGCTATGTGAAGTAGGTCTAGAGTAAGGTACAATAGAGAAAAGCAGTTTCCTTATATAGTCGGGAAATCGGTGAACATCACTGGTTCATATGAGGAATAAAATAATTTGATAAAGAGAATATTGGTGTTCTTTACCTTTGGGATCAGTATTTAGTGAGCAAAATGATTCATCTAGAATGTTCAAAAATAGCAGGTTAATGTTTTAAAAATATTCATAAAAGTGGGCAAGGATGGATGTATCATAAGGTTTGAGTACACATGTGGAAAAATATCAAACGATGAAGATTAGAATTAAAACCATGACCTTTCAAATGGCCTCAAAACTTTTCTAAAACATAGCCCATTCACACCCATAGGGAAATGGGGAGATTTGCATTGTCCTGTATTTGTCTTCTAGTCAAGATTGCTGCAGGGCCGGTTGTTGCTTAGTATGGACTTGATGGACTAAGAGATGAACAAAGGAGCTCATAAAGCAAGGAGACTGCTCAAGAGTTTCCTCTGTGTGCTGAATGTTAAAATGTGGTCTCTTTGGAAAAAGAAGTTAATAGTTACGTGACAACTTTATCTCATAGAAGATATTAATCCTGACCCAAGACACTTTCTTGGTGTTATCCATGTGTGGAGACAAAAACAGAATCTCAATCAAAATCATTTCAGAGTAATTCAAATTCCTTTGGTTTCCCAAACTCAAAAAAGGTTTTTGCAATATTCTATTAGGTTTAGAAGTAAATATGTAAAATGAGTGTACTAAGATCTGCCTCAAATTTTTTTCTGTTTGAAAATTGATAGGGCCAGCGCCGCGGCTCACTAGGCTAATCCTCCGCCTAGCGGCGCCGGCACACTGGGTTCTAGTCCCGGTTGGGGCACCGGATTCTGTCCTGGTTGCCCCTCTTCCAGGCCAGCCCTCTGCTGTGGCCCGGGAGTGCAGTGGAGGATGGCCCAAGTCCTTGGGCCCTGCACCCCATGGGAGACCAGGAAAGTACCTGGCTCCTGCCTTCGGATCAGCGCGGTGCGCTGGCCGCAGCGCGCTGGCCGCGGCGGCCATTGGAGGGTGAACCAACGGCAAAGGAAGACCTTTCTCTCTGTCTCTCTCTCTCACTGTCCACTCTGCCTGTCAAAAAAAATTGATAAAAAATTAGCTATTTTTTACAAAAATTTATTTAGGAAGACTGAGTTACAGATGGAATGGGAGGGACAGAGAGAAAATTACCTCTACCTGCTGGTTCATTCTCCAAATGGCCACAATGGCCAGGGCTGGGCCAGGCAGCAGCCAGGAACCTGCCACTCCATTAGAGTCTCCCAGGTGAGTGGCTTGGGCCATCTTCCACTGCCTTCCCAAGCATATTAGCAGGGAGCTGGATTGGAAGTGGAGCTGCCAGAAGTGGAACTGGTATTCCTTCGAGATGCCCACTTTGCAGGTCGCAGCTTAGCCTGCTGTGCCACAACACTGGCCCCCAGTGTTGCTATAGTTGTTAGCTATTTTAGAGATTAAGTATTGTGTAACATATTCCTTACATGACCACACAGTTTGTGACGTTGTATTTGTATGAGCTAGACGCACTTTGTCAGGTAGGCCTCCTCTCTTCCCACCTCACACAACTGTGAGACTCTCAAACTTTGCCATGAACTTTTTAGTGGATAATTTCCTGCATTTCAGGGGCTGTGCTTTATTTGACTTCTCTACACTTTGGTCACCACTAATTTATTTGCTTATCAGTTTCTCTCCCTTTTTCCATCTCTTCCCTTTTAGCTACTGTGGGAAAACAGGTTATTATCCTCATCCTTAAGGAAATCACATTGTTATTAATCAGTTGCTTTGTAATTATGTTTTGCTTTGTCACTGTTATGAGAATAGAGTCTGTATCTTACTCATTTATGGCTGACATTGTACGTGACAAAGTATATGCTAGGTAAATTTGAATTTTGTTGGATATTGATTTCTTACACATTATCTCTAAATTCAAAGGGAATAGGAAAGGTAGCCGTCAGCTGGGAGCATTGTCTAAAGAACAGTATTTCCCCAACTAATACATACACCTGTTCTGCATTTAAAATTATAATAAAAGAGAAAATGCATGAATAAATTATTCAAAAAAGGAAGAAAATGTGAGAATGTTCCATCTCACACGTGGTCAGTGAATACAAACTAAAATGTTTGGTCAATTAAATGTTCAGAAATTAATGTCTAGAGTAGTGTGATAGTTTGTCAGAATGAGTACTCTCATGCATTCTTGGTGTTATTCTAAATAATAATTTTGGAATAATCATTAAAATTAAAGTAATCCATTTTATTTGACAATTCCACAATTTAATGAGCAGCATAAAATTACCACAATGCAATGATATTTAAGGATGGCTACTGTATCATTGTCAGTAATAGCTGAAATACAAGAGTTAAAAAGCCTCAGTGTTAATTCATGGGAGAATGGCCAAGTAAGTGTGATATATCCAAATTATACAGTTACAGAAAGTGAAAAAGAACATCAAGATATATAAGAACATACACTTTTATAAGTGAAAATAAAAGATGAAAACAAAACATAGCGATCTTTTCTAATATTTTTAAGCTAATAAAAAGAAAGCCAGAGGTTTAGAAGCTAAACCAGCTAAAACCAAGAACTAGTAACTTAGAGCAGTGTCCAAGCTGCGATTTGTATGTAGGGGAGGAAGTGAACTCTCCAGGCAAGCATAGAATTGTGCATTCGTTCACTCCTCAAACGATGGCGTGCTCACACCTCAGGCCAGAGATTCATGTGTTCACTCCAGTCTGGGAACAGCTGTGAGGAGCAAGAAGGAAGAGTAGGAGCCTCAGTGATGGTTCACTTCTTGTCCCCTTCTTCTCTCAGCTCCCCATGTACGGTAAACCACGTCTTAGGATACATTTTGAGCTGTTTCAGTTAAAGTTGACTTGTGTTTGGATATTTTCTGTCTTATTTATTCAAGTAGCAGCCCCGATTGTAAACTCCAAAAGAAAAACAGGCTGCAAACAGATATGACAGAGTATCTGCAAATTTTTGTTATCACTATCTTACCTCTTATGGTAAACTAGGGTGGATGTTAATATAATGTTTGTATAGTCAACTGAAGTGAGTTAGTGAGTCTCTTATTCAGATCATTTATAAAACTACTTCTTTTTGAAATATCTAAATGCTTGAGACAAAACTTGTTTTTAATCCGGATTTTCCAGATAATTTCCTTGATTCCTTGTTACCTATGAAACATAATCTAGGTCTTTCTTACAGTAGGCAGATGCTCATCGGCCATGTTTTGCTGTGAAAATCAAGGGAAAAGGTAATGATATGAGGTGGCAAATAGCCTTGAAAAATATGCTTGAAAAGTTATTTTAAGATAGATATACAGTTAGATTATTTTAGCCAATTTTATAGCTGTAGAGATCTGATTTGGGTAAGACCTTCTTGGTGTTCTGATGACCTGTGACCAATGACAGGAGTATGGAATAGGGTAAAATTTCTGTGTCAAGTCATCTTTTTTCTGTAACTAATAGCCACAACATTATGAGTTTTAAAAGCTCCTATAGTCTCATTGAAGCCAAAGAAAGCTCTGTCTATTTCTTTTGAAAGAGGATGTCTATTGAAACTGTTTCAAATTGCTGAATAGCCCGGCTAATCCCACCTGTCTCTAATTGCATACTCTGAAAGTTACTTTTCTCACTATGGTAAGCCTTCCAACTATTTTTCAGAGAGCAGTACTTACATCAGGAGTGAATTGACCCTTCCTTAATAGTAGAACCATGGCTGAAATGTGTCTCATTGTGGATACCCTTGATTCAGTTAAAATCTAGTATTCCTCTCAGTGATTCAGGATTCAAATATGTCAGTAGTAAAGAAAGAGAACTTGCTTTTTCAGAGGGGGATATCCAGTTACTTTTCTGGTGCCTTATGTTTCTAAAGAAGACAAATGTGAGATTATACGAGTCATGTTTTTCTTATGATGTTGATCCTAGTCTCTTATCTAAGTTCTTTCATAACTAATTTTATTGTTATTAAAATTTAAAATTCATACTTTAGCACCACTGAATACATATTTATTCTCCGACTTTAGGTACTAATCTATACCTGATTCAAAATTATGGAGCTAAAATGACTGAAATAAAATATAGTTGTAGTGTGCTATATTACTTTTAACATTTTGTTCTTTGGACCCCTTTCTTTTGTCTGATATTTTGTTAATTATTTGATTTGCTTTCCTTTTCTGAAGTGACATTTTAAATATTTTAAAGATTTGGATTCAAAGAGAAAAGTGAGCTCTATTTTCTTCTGTTTGACATTCATATATGGTTTTTCATCTAATTTCTATTAAATTAGCAAAGGATAGCATGCATATTCTCAATTTTAGATACTGTTGTTAAGATTTATTATTTATTTATTTGGAGTCATCTGAAGTAAATGCAACTTTTGTACAACCTATGAAAGATGGATTTGTTTGCTAATTCATAATACAATTAAGATTTTGCTAACACTGAAAAATGAGTAGTATTTGGAAACAAACATAATGCAAAGGAATTTTATAATTACTTTGAAATCAGTTTTCCTGGAGATCTGTAAAATTTGGTCAAAGGAAACTCTAGTTATGAACATCTTATTAACATCTGATTGAATTACTGAATAAACTTGAAAACAAAAATTAATTTACTGGTGTATTCTGAATTCATTGTTTTAGTTTTGAAGGATATATAACATCTTTATTCAACTGGATTGATATACCTTTGTATATAAGTTAGACAAAAGCTTATTATAAATTGCTGATTTTTAATATACATGTGATCAAAAAGTATGCAGTAAATTTTAATATAAAAGCAAATTATGAAGGTAATATTCTTTTTTCTCTCAGGGATAGTTCATCACTAAAAACTATTAATGTTACTGAGACATCTTCAGAGTTTTCAGATTTGGACTACAATGCTGAATATAGTGCCTATGTAACAGCTAGCACCAGATTTGGTGCTGGGAAATCAAGAAGTCGTATTATTAGCTTTCGAACACCTGAGGGAGGTGAGTTCTTATGTACCTAAGCTAATTTAAAGCATAGTATACTCAGAAAAAAGTATTAAATATAAAAATGTGTTATGCCTAAAATCCGCCATCAGGTGGATGCGGAATTGCTTTTTGGTCACTCTCAAGCTGTGTGATGTTAGGAAAGTTAGTTTATTTCTTTATGCCTTAATGTTCCATCTATAATATGGAACAATATAAAATCTACTTCAGAGGATCTATATGAGGATTAAGTAAATTTGTAGCTGCCCTCAATGCGTAACTTACTGGACACAGAAGCACTTTATTTGCTTACTAAGTGGAACAACATCAAATATATGAAGTCAATTTTCTGTTTGCCTTTGACTTGAGCTATTCTATTGCAAAATGCTAAATTAAACTATAATTCCACTTTATGTATTCTATTTTGAAAACTTGTTAAAATGTTGTATTCAAATCTATGACAGGGGATATATTTTAGGGCTAGGATGGTATCTTATGAACAAGAAATCCATCTGTCCTCTGCTTGAATGTCATTATGGTAAAGTGTTAAAGGGAAGGCCCCATGTGTCATAAATTTCATTTCTGCCATTTCAGTAGATGTCATTCCTCATTTAAATTTTACTGACAAATAATTGTCACTTTAACTCATAAGATAAAGTCAAAATTCAGGTATTTTAGAGGTTCCTTGGAGCTGCAATACAGTCTTTTTTTAATTTTATTTAAGTTATACAGGTTTCATGTATTTCATATATACAGATTTATGAACCTAGTGATACTACCTTCCCTCCCACCCACGCTCTATCCCTTCACTCTTCCTCAACGGAAGAGACAAGGGCTGTAAACAATCATTGAATCTCGCTCCAACACATTACATTTCAGGTATTCTATTAGTTACCTTGGATCAAGGAAAGCACATGACATGTCTTTCGGGGGCTGGCTTATTTCCCTAAATATACTGGTTTCCAGTTGCGCCCATCTTGTTGCAAAAGTCAGGTTTTCATATAGTTTTTTGTTCATTCCTTGTTTTATAGCACCAAGTGATCCTCCCAAAGATGTTCATTACGTGAATCTCAGTTCTTCATCAATAATTCTCTTTTGGACTCCCCCTTCAAAACCTAATGGGATCATACAATATTATTCTGTGTATTACAGAAATAATTCTGGTACTTTCATGCAGGTAAGACCTGAGTTTTCTACGAGGTTTTATTTTCCATCTTTTAACTTTGTTGATATTCAGGTTTACCGTGTTTACTCACATTGATAATTATGCACAGATATGTTTGAAAAAACTCTAAGTGATTGGGTGGGAAAATGTCACATACATTTAAATTTCTCATCGTTTCAGCTTTATGCACATTAACCATGGAACTATCACCTATGTAATATTCACTATGTAATAATGGCCCTTTATTCCACTTTTTTTTAAAAAAAAAAGATTTATTTATTTATTTGAAAGTAAGAGTTACACAGAGAGAGGAGAGGCAGAGAGAGAGAGAGAGGTCTTCCATCTGATGGTTCACTCCCCAACTGGCCGCAATGGCCGGAGGTGCGCCGATCTTAAGCCAGGAACCAGGAGCTTCTTCCGGGTCTCCCACATGGTTGCAAGGGCCCAAGGACTTGAGCCATCTTCTACTGCTTTCCCAGGCCATAACAGAAAGCTGGATCGGAAGTGGAGCAGCCAGGTTTTGAACTGGTGCCCATGTGGGATGCCGACGCTTCAGGCCAGGGCATTAACCAGCTGCACCACAGTGCTAGCCCCTATTCCACTTCTTCCAAGAAGTATTGCTGCTCTCATTTGCACTCAAAATTAATTCTCAGATTTTTTCCATTTTGTTTATAGACAATATAAGTAGTCTTATGATCTGAATGTGTTTTTCTGCAATTTAAAAATATAAGAATTATTATTATCACTTAGTATCAGATATAATGAAGACCAATAGGAATGTGATTATTTAGTTAGTAAGATATGAGGTTCTAGGCTTTCATAGTTTGCAGATGGGAACTTTGTAGGATGTGAATGGTTAAGGTTATGAAAATAACTAACATGCATTTAATTTAGAGATACATTTTCAGCTTTTCACAGAATTATATTCTTTCTCCAAATTAAATGTTTCACAGAACTCTAACAGATGAAAAGATAAAATTGGAGTGACTGTGACTGAATCAGAGATGGAAAGAGTCACAACATAATTTGGAAAACCAATTTAGAAGACATGCTGCAATTTAGAGACTGCATACCTTGCTAGAAGAAATTATTGATTGCCAGTAGTTAGGACTTTGGCAATTTATTTAAAGATTCACTTATTGAACGGCAGAGCTATTGAGACGGAGAGGCAAAGAGAGAGAGAGAGAGAAATCTTCCATCCACTAGTTCACTCCCCAGTGGCCACAACAGCCAGGGTTGGGCCAGGCAAAACCCAGGAGCCAGGAGCTTCATCCACGTCTCTCACATGGATGCAGGGGCCTGAGTACTTGGCCCATCCTCAGATGTTTTCCCCTGTACACTAGAAGGGCGCTGGATCGGAAGTAGAGCAGCCAGGACTTGAACTGCAACCCTTGTGGGATGCTGGCACTGTAAGTGGAGGCTTAACCCACCGTGCCATAGCACAGGCTCTGACCATTCTTATTTCTTTGAATTCTTTTTAAGGAAAAAGAGAAGAGATCTTAGTAATTCTGAGTTGCCTACACCCACCTGTGACGGCACACCAAGTTGAGTCACTGAAGTTACTTGTCAGAAGTGAGAATCTCTGCAACTAAGCTGTGATCTGCTTTAGTGCAGCTACAGGGGAGTGTTGGTTAGTGAATGGCTCGAGCAGAACACTGCAGACTGGAAGGACTTACCGTGCAGGGAGCAGAAGAACCTCCAGAAGTTAGTTTAGTGTTTACATTCCACTCTCAAAGAGTGGGCCCAAATGTGAGCATTAAAACTTCTATGCCAAAAGCAAGCTATCTTATGAAATATATTTAGATACGGTGGATGTTACAGCACAGCGGGCTAACCTGCTACTCCCATCTCCCCTATCTGACATCACAGTACCTATTTGAATCACAGCTACTCTGCTCCGGTTATTGTGGGCTTTTGGGAATTGAACCAGTTGATGAAAGATTAATTTTTCTCTCTCTTTTTATATATTTCCACACATGTATGTGTGTGTGTGTGTGTGTGTATTTATATAATTCTACTTTTCCAAAAGAAGTAAATATCTGGGCCGGCACCGTGGCTCACTTGGCTAACCCTCTGCCTGCAGCGCCGGCACCCCTGGTTCTAGTCCCGATTGGGGTGCCAGTCCTGTCCCTGTTGCACCTCTTCCAGTCCAGCTCTCTGCTGTGGCCCTGGAGGGCAGTGGAGGATCGCCCAAGTGCTTGGGTCCTGCACCCGCATGGGAGACCAGGGGAGGCGCCTGGCTCCTGGCTTCGGATTGGCTCAGCACCGGCCGTAGCGGCCATTTGGAGGGTGAACCAACGGAGGGAGGACCTTTCTCTCTCTCTCACTGTCTAACTCTGCCTGTCAAAAAAAAAAAAAAAAAAGGAAGTAAATATATTTAGATAGATAATTGATGTCATTAAAGTTAAAATGTAAGCAAATACTTAACAAAAGGAGAAAGTAGGGAATGAATTTGCGTCTACTCTGCATCAAGCAGTTTTTGCTGTTCTTTTCTACTCTGCTCTGATAATGGGGGAAAATATTGGAACTGGTGACACAAAGTTTTCACCACAATGTTGTTTTCAAATTTAACAATGTTTCATTATGCCATCAAACCATTTTCAAATTGCAGATTTTTTTTCTTTCATGCATTTAACAAAAACATTGCACAACGGTCTCTACAGTTCTAAACCTTTGTGATAGTTTTCCCTCTTTACAATTTACTTATCGCTTACATGTGATTGTATTTTTGTACTCTTTCTCAACATTTTAATAATCAAGTATGAGCATCTAACTATGGTTTTAACATGATCTACTGAATCTATTTAATCAACCTGGGAATATAATATCCCATTTGCAGTTCATCTGTCTTAGAACATGTTATCTTTTATTAAATAATCTTAAGAATGCTTTTAAGTGTGACAGCTGCAAGCAGACACAGGCTAATGATGTTAGAACATTTCAGAACGTAGTCTCATATTGCGTGAAGTTCATTCGTGCATTGCTTTATCCCTAAAGTTAATGTTAAAAATAGCATCATTACCTTCACTACTTTCTATTGTGGATTGGTAGAGTAAGAGAAATCCTCAAAATGAAAGTAACAGAGCAGAGTAGGTGTATAGTCTTTATCTTATTCCTTCTCTGCTTTCTCCTTCCTAGAGAACTTGATGGATACCTCATGCCCAGCATATTGTTACTGTCTGTCTCCTATTCCCTGTATCTGATATCTGTCTTTAGTTCCCTTATGCCTGAGCAAACACCTTGAAGAAAATAGATGCATGATACCTTTCTTTCCACCCCCTGAAGTTCCTAGAAGTGTACCATGCATAGGCTGAATACTCAATATTTTAATAAAATATAGTTATTATAATTGACCAGCATGTTTGTACTTAATTATAAATTTGAAGCACTGATGTGTATAATTAAATGAAAATTTCTTCTTATCTTGGGGAATTTAATTTGTTTAATATTTCAGAAAGTTAGTAGAGAGAGGAGTTAAAAGATAAATTTAGGGGCAGGTGTTTTGATGCAGAGAGTTAGGTCCATGCTTGGGATGCCTGCATCTCATATCACAGGGCCAAAGATCCGGTCCTGCCCATGCTTCTGATCAAGTACCCTGCTCATTCAGTCTGTGCTGCAGTAGGTGGTGGGTGAAGTACCTGGGTCCCTGTTACCCATGTGGGAGAACTGGATGGAGCCCCAGGCTCTTGGCTTCTGTGTCACTCAGCCTCAGCTCTTGCAGGCATTTGGGGAATGACCTAGTGGGTGGAAGCATGCTCGCTCACTCTCTCCACTACTCCCTTGCTCTGCCTTTCAAATAAATAAAAATAAACTTAAAAATAATTAAAAGATATTGCTTTGATAAAAATTTTTTTGAAATGCATGAGTAATTTTTTCCTGATAACTATGTAAATATTTATTTATTTATTTGAAAGGCAGAGTTAGAGAGAAAGAGATAGAGAGAGGTCTTCCATGTGATAGTTTACTCCTCCATTGGCAACAGATGCCAGAGGTGGGCTTATCTGAAGTCACTAACCAGGAGCCACTTCCAGTCTCCCATGTGGGTGGAGGGGCTCAAGCCCTTGAGCCATCCTCCACTTCTTCTGCAGACCATTAGCCAGGAGCTTGATCAGAAGTGGTGCAGCTGGGACTCAAACAGGTGCCCATATGGCATGCCAGTGCCACAGGCGGCTACTTTATCTGCTATACCACAGCAATGGCTCCATAATATGCATTTAACATGAAATTTCTGAAGACTCCTCATATCCATGAATTTCAGAATTTTTTGCACCAAAATAACCTTAGCTTTTTTTTTTTTTTAAGATTTATTTATTTACTTGAAAGGCACAGTTAGAGAAGGAGAAATAGACATAGAAATCTTTGATTTGCTGGTTCATTCCCCAAATGGCTGTAACAGCCAGGACTGAGCTAAGCTGAAGCCAGGAGTTTATTCTGGGTCTCCCATGTGGGGGCAGGGGCCCAAACACTTGAGCCATCTTCTGCTTTCCCAGGCACATTACAGGGAGCTGAATCAGAAGTGGAGCAGCCTGGACTTGAACTGGTACTCATGTGGGATGCCCACACTGCAGGCTGGGGCTTTAACCTGCTGAGCCACGCCGCTGGCCCCTAATCTTAGATTTTGATTCCAATTTGCACAAGCTTTTTGAAGTACCCTTGTATTCAGAAATCCTTGTTCTTTCAGTTGTTGCACATTGTGTTTCGTATAGCATATGGACTCTTCTACATTGTAATTTTTGCATGCTCCCTAATGTCTCCTTCAGTGTGCTTGCCATAATATAACTGAAAATTTTTTGATTAATCAAATTTGAAAAGCTTTTACTGAATACCTTCTGGTTTCATTTACATAAACAAAGGTGTAAGCCTTAATTAGATCATTTAATACAATAGAATATTTTGTGCAAAAATACATACAGGGATGAAATAGTTCTCTGGATATTTGACCTAATTCTACAAATTTGTTGTCAATGAATACTGAGTCACATGGCAGGATTGACTTCTGAGTGACTCAAAATAACTACTTATTAGTTGTCAAGGTCAGAGATAATGAGAAAAATTCTATAACAAAGACACATTGGAATCTGTGCCAAAAAGCTAAATGAATACTGTTAAGTGGTGCTTAGTATAAACTAGCTATTCTATGTGTAAAGTAGTTGTATTGGAAAGTATTATGTTCATGGATAATATTTTGTGTGATTCTTATTTTGTTTTAATGTGTCCATAAATAAGTCACAACAAAATTGAAGTAAATCTTTTATTATACTCAATTTTCACCCAAATGTTGGGAAAGAACCATAACATTTTTGCTGAACTTAATTTGTTGATAAATTTAAGAACCATCTTGACTATAAATTTAGTCAAACTGATTATCCTATATTGTTCATTTAAATGAGGCTCATTACCATGTCTGGGTTTTTTAATTGTGTGATAGACATGGTATTAATTGTGTTATGTGCTTTATGCCCTTCAATCCTCAAAGGCTCTTTGTGAAGTAGAGATGATTAGAGTTGAAGGAAGAGAAGCTTTGAGATTAGATTACCCAGAGCTGCCTTGCCAGAACATCCAACAAGACTGTAGGGCTCACAGGGCTTCGGGTGGCTTGAAATGAGACAGATTACTTCCTGTAGATGAACTCCAAGATAAAATTATTCATACTAATACCTACATATTTTTAAAGGCTGTTTTCATCTATTTTATGGCTCATTTTGTTTGACTATGTGTTTAGTTTTTAAAAATTGATCAGGAGGGAAATTATTGCATAAATTCTCTAAAAATTCAAAAGATGCCTTGGAACAACTGTTCTAAGGAGTCAGGCAGAAGAGTTCAGAAATTTCTCTGCACTGTGCATCTTACTGTGTTTCCCTTGGTCCCCACAGTGCAGGAAAAAGAGGGTCTACTAAAGATGACTAATAAAGGTTTAGTTTTAGAAAGAGACATACACATTTATAGTTCCATCATCATTAAAGGGAAGAAAAAAATGTTTTGCAATATCCCTGCATTTTTTAAAATAGCCAGTACTTTGAAAAATACTTGAATGTTTCATAAGGAAATGGATACTGATCCGCACAGTTGTGGCATTTTCAGTTGGCTTCTTGATCTTCCCTAATCTAAGCTTGGGATTTTTTTCCTATTTTGTGTATTGATTTTGTAATAAAATCTACTGTCTATTCCTCCTTTTAGTGCAAAATATATCCAATGTGATTATTGCACTATAATATCCTATATTGATTTTTCTTAAAAGTTAACACATTTAAATCATGAGATAACCAATTTATGTATAATAATTATTTTGAGATGTAAAAATACATAAGTACATCTGGACTATTAAATTCATGTGCTTTTTCTAGAATTTTACACTCCATGAAGTAACCAATGACTTGTACAATATGACCGTATCTGCTGTAATAGAAAACCTGGCAATATTCAGCTACTATACATTTTGGATAACAGCAAGTACTTCCGTTGGAAATGGGAATAAAAGCAGTGACATAGTTCAAGTATACACAGATCAAGACAGTATGTAAACAAAAAGCATTTATTCATCTTTAATAGAATTGATTAAAAACTTTATAATTGCTTTAGGAAATTTTCCTATTTGTATATGCTTATAGTAAAAAATTGTATTTTATTTAGACATAGTTAACTATTATTGATAGGAATTTTTAAATGCACTTAATATTGCTAAGAAATTATTAAATTAATAATGACCTCTTCTCTTCATGAAAACTCCTACCCTCCTTTCATGAAAATTGTGTTAATTTTAGTGCTTCAAAAGATGTCATAGCCGTCTGGTTATGGGCAAAAAAATACTCTGCATACATGGGTGAATATTCTGATAGTTAACATACTTGTGCTTTTGTTTTAGGAGCTACCTTTGCATTTAAAAATCTAGCAGTTTCTTTCCCTTTCAGACTTTGAATCCACAAAGAACTCCATGCGGTATTTTTATTTTTACTGTGTTGATAACTAATATGCTCAGAATATTTTCTCCGACTGCAGAATGTTGATGTGACCACTGAGGATTCATGCTTACTATGACTATCCCCAAAAAACTATAGTGACTGAAGCTTTTCATGTTTTTTAGGTTTCAGCTTTGAGAATACAGCGATAAGTGGATCATGAACTATTTCTCTTGTAGCTGTTTCTGTTGTCTATTTGTTTACTTTTCAAAGATTATTCTGTTTTTGAAAATTGGTATTGATCTAAACTTCTGAGTGTAAAATTCCATGTTAATTATTTGAAGTTCATACGTTGACAGGCACTATAAGCATTGTTTCTTGTTGGAAGAATCTTGAATAGTTGACAAATTGATAACAGACTGGGATATGATAATCTGTAGTCATATGCATTTGGGGAGTCAACAGCAAAAAGTTTTAAAGCAGTATTTGGTACATAGTATTTCAGACATTCTTTCAGTGCAGATGTCTACCAATATTTTTGCAACCTATCATATTATCAATTATAACTATAGCACTGTAGATAATAAGCATATAGTGTGTACTACTCAAATAGATGCCAGATTTACATGAACAGACCTTAGCATCACAATGCAACTGGTATTTGACAATTAGAACTGTTGTAAGCAGTATAATTTCTTCATGTACACATATGGGTTGGTAGTCTGATGACTCGGGAAATCTTCAGATTTATTATCAGAAAAGCTTAGTATTAACTCTTCTCAACCTATCATGACCTTGAGGGAGGTCACTTAATTGCTCTGAGCCTCAGTTTCCCTATATGTACAGTAAAGATAATCTTTAGAAGAAAGAAACTAAAAATATTGTTTAGATAAAATTCACTACCAAAATATTTAATGATTTGGGTACATACACACAAGTATGCACACAATCTTTAAGTTGTAGAAAAGAAAAACCAAGAGAATATCATTCAAAAATAATTTGTGTACGTATCAAAGATAGCAGTTTATTTTGAAAGGTCTTTAAAACAATTATTTTGAAGATATTTTAATAGGGTTCTTCCCACATCTGCATTTAAATAATGTAAGAGTGATGATATGTTAGATGCAATTTCAACCATTATACTCAATTTGTGAATGTAAATTCTATTTAGGGTAATTGACGATTTTCATATTTTGCCCGTTACCCATCGTAGTACCTGAAGGGCTTGTTGGAAACCTGACTTACGAGTCCATTTCATCAACTGCAATAAATGTAAGCTGGGTCCCGCCGTCTCAACCAAATGGTCTAGTCTTCTACTATGTTTCACTGAATTTACAGCAGACTCCTCACCACGAGAGACCGCCTCTAGTTACATATGAGAGAAGCATATATTTTGATAATCTGGAAAAATATACTGATTATATATTAAAAATCACTCCATCAACAGAAAAGGGATTCTCTGACACCTATACTGCACAGCTACACATCAAAACTGAAGAAGATGGTAGGCTGGACCCTTTTATTACCTATTCAGCAGATTATTATTGTTCTCTTCATTTATATGGCATTCTTTTTATAATTATATTGATTCTGCTAATTCTCAAGTTATTATCCTTTATATATGTGCAATAAACTCTGTTTAAAATTAAAATAATCTGTTAATAAAATCATGACGCTCCATTATGATTGAAACCTCTTTCTTAAGAATGCAAATTCACTTTTGTTTCATTTAATATTCTCTTTTTCTTTTATAGTCCCAGAAACCTCACCAATAATCAACACTTTTAAAAACCTTTCCTCTACCTCAGTTCTCTTATCATGGGACCCCCCAGTAAAGCCAAATGGTGCAATCATAAGTTATGATTTAACTTTACGAGGACCAAAAGAAAATTTTTCTTTCATTACTTCTGATAACTATATAATATTGGAAGAGCTTTCACCATTTACATTATATAGTTTTTTTGCTGCAGCAAGAACTTTAAAAGGACTTGGTCCTTCCAGTACTCTTTTCTTTTACACAGATGAGTCAGGTAAGCCAAATCTGTATTTCTTCACATGATCTTGTTGCCAACACTTGCTCTCTCTCTCTTTAAGGAGCAGCATGGAAAAATGAAAGGATATGAAATTCTGTATTTGTAGCTGCCTTACGGTTATTCACCTACTTTGCCTAACCTCCTTTTTTTTTTTTTTTTTTTAATTCAAGCTCCCGATTGAAATATTCTGCCAAAAGCTATTTTGGAATGACTGTGTTCCAAATTAAAAAATCTAAATACTTAAGATTATTTCTGAAATCAAGACATGGTCATTTAATGAATCTTTCTTAACTAGATTTTCAAGAAGCTAGACTCACAATGTTCTTTTTATGCTTAAATTTTTATGAATGTAAGTTTTTTTTTATAATGTGTTTTCCTGCAGTGCCTTTAGCACCTCCTCAAAATTTGACTTTAATCAACTACACTTCAGACTTTGTATGGCTGCAATGGAGCCCGAGTCCTCTTCCAGGCGGTATTGTTAAAGTATATAGTTTTAAAATTCATGACCATGAAACTGATACTATAATTTATAAGGTAGGTTGATTATAACAGTAAATGTTTCTTTCCAAAATTCAGATACTGAACTGAAATCTTTCTTGATACATAGACTGAAATAGATTACTTTAAAGTAACCTTCAAGTTATTTCTTTAAAATTTTAATTTCCTCCAGTTTAAGGGTGCTTTTGGGAAACACAAGAAAACATTTGCCAGAAACAGAAGCTGAACACACCGTAGATTTTTTGCTGAATTTGTAATTTCTAGATAACTCCAGTTTAAGATATAAATGCATCATTTTGTCAGGTCTGGAAAGCATATGGTAAATTTTTTTTAATTAAAACCTGTTATAGCATATAACCTATTTCTATTCATTCATTTTAACCTTTTCATACTGGACTTTGGGTAATCTTCCCAAATAGCTTGGATGCTACATTATTTGTTTGTAAGATATATCTTACTCTTTTACTTCCAAGATGAATTTCCTTGCAACATTGAACATTGATTCCCACTTCCAGTTCTAGATCCAGAATCCATGAAAAATATCTAAAGAATGGATATAACTAAAAGTTTCAAATATACATATCTGATTTCCAGCTCTCAATTGCCAAAATATGTTATAAGTAGTGTTTATTTAAGAAAATTTTCATATTTTTCCCAAAGGCCAATAACATCCTGGAATGTTGCTATTTAATTACAGCAAGAATAGTGCAGAAAATCACAGCAAACATTTTGCTCATTATTAACTGTGTTAGAATTTATTACATGGTTATAGCATGTGGAGTTGAAAAAGCAAATAGTAAAAATCAAAAACAGTGATTAAAGTTATATCCCAGTCCCAAAGGGACAAATATCATATGTTCTCCCTGATCGGTGACAACTAACTGAGCACCAAAAAGGAAACCTGTTAAAGTGAAATGAACACTATGAGAAATGGTGACTTGATCAGCCCTTGCTCTGACTGTTGATGAACAACTTAATACGTTATCCCTCTTAGTATTTTTGTTTGTTTGTTCTACTTAATACTTTTGGTTGAATACTGTAATTAATACACAGTTATTCTTAAGTGTTGAAACTTAACTGAAAAGTGATCGCTGTTAAATATAAGAGTGGGAATAAGAGAGGGAAGAGATGTGCAATTTGGGACATGCTCAAGCTGACTTACCTCAAATGGTAGAGTTAGAAACATACCAGGGAATTCCAATTCAATCCCATCAAGGTGGCATGTACCAATGCCATCTCACTAGTCCCAGTGATCAATTTCTGTTCACAATTGATCATAATGATAGGACTAAGAACCAAAGGGATCACATAAACAAAAATAGTGTCTGCAAATACCAACTGATAGAATAAAAAAGGGAGAGAACGATCTAACACGGGAAGTGAGATACACAGCAGACTCATAGAATGGCAGATGTCCTAAACAGCACTCTGGCCTCAGAATCAGCCCTTAAGGCATGCGGATCCAGCTGAAAAGCCCATGAGAGAATTTCAGGCATGGAAAGCCAAGACACAAGACACTCTGGCAAAAACAAAACAAAACAAAACAAAAACAAAAAAACCCTAAATGAAAGATTTTCGCAAATGAGATCCCAGAGGAAAGAACAGCTCATCAAAGAAGGAGGTACTTTTCTCTGAAGGGAGAAGAGAACTTCCACTTTGACTACGACCTTGTCTAAATATGATCAGAGTCGGTGAACTCAGGAGGCTTCCATAGCCTTGGCAACTCATGACAAGAGCCTAGGGTGATCACTGATGCCATAAACAAGAGTGTCAATTTGTTAAGTCAACAACAGGAGTCACTGTGCACTTACTCCTCATGTAGGATCTCTGTCCTTAATGTGCTATACATTGTGATTTAATGCTATAACTAGTATTCAAACAGTATTTTTCACTTTGTGTTTCTATGTGGGTGAAACTGTTGAAACCTTTACTTAATATATGCTAAACTGATCTTCTGTATATAAGGAGAATTGAAAATGAATCTTGATGTGAATGGAAGGGGGGAGGGAGAGGGAAAGGGGAGGGTTGCGGGTGGGAGGGAAGTTATGGGGGGGGAAGCCATTGTAATCCATAAGCTGTACTTTGGAAATTTACATTCATTAAATAAAAGTTAAAAAAATAGTTATATCCCAAGAAATAATGACTTTGTTTCTAGAAACCAAGGTATAGAATCTAATAGGCTGAGTAGAATTTGGTTTTTAAATTACTTGTTAAATGTGCAATCAGTTTCTCAGAACTGTAAAATCCTAGTATTTTCTTATTTTGCATTTGCTTTGTATGGTTTATGGGGATATAGATATCAAAAGAGGAAAAGGAATCATTTTCTTAGAGTAATCACATTTCGAGGATAACTGTGTGTGTGTGTGTGTGTGTGTGTGCTGGAATATGCATGTTTATATCTGATCTAAACTTCATAAAACAGTAAGCTCTCACACAAACACCTTAACATAGTGTCAAAGCAAGAGTTCTGATATTAAATGACCTTAGTCAAATCTTGCCTTTGCAGTGTATTCTCCTGCATTAAGGAAATTTCTTAACATCTTAAGACACAGTATCGTAAAGTGAAAAATGAGTTTTAACAATGCCTGTATTAAAAAGAGAATTATAAAGTAAATTCTCCATAAATCAATTAAAACAATTCTAGTTTCTTGACAATTAACTATTGCTGTTGCTGTACATAGATTAAAGAAAAATAAACTCTCCAACATTGAAATTGTACTCAGTATAAATACATTATGCCCTTATCTGAATATGAGGATACTTTATAGTCTGAGATTTTTTACAAAAATAAATATTTTCCTTCTATTTAAAAGGCAGAGAGAGACAGGGAGAGAAGGAGAGAGAGCGCAAGACAGACTCAGACATACACACAGATCTTTCTGCTGTTTCTGTACCCAAATGTCCAAAATAGTTAGAGTTGCACCATGTCAAAGCCAGGAGCCTAGAACTCAGTCTAGTTCTCCTACATAGCTTTCTGGAACACAACTACTTGGGCCATCATCAGCCTCTTCCCAGGGCCACACAGTATCAGGAAGCTGGAATCATAATGGAGCTAGAACTTGAACCAGGTGCTCCAATATAGGATGTGGGCATTTCCAGTGGCATCTTAACACTGCACCAAATGCCTGCCTTAAGTCTAAGATTTTAAAGCATATTTTCTCTATAGAAATGTTGCCACTAATATTTCACTGAAGCAATAGTAAAATATTTGTAACATAAAGAAGTAAACCATGTGTCTGAGAGAGTAATAGTTATGTTTTTAAAAACTATTACTTGTCGTTCCTGATATATTTGTTTATCAATTTGTATGACTTCATTTACTTTCACATTCATTTACATGTATTTATTCTTTTTAAAGATTTATTTATTTGAAAGGCAGAGTTACAAAGAGGCAGAGGCAGAAAGAGAGAGGTCTTTCATCCACTGGTTCACTCCCCAAATGGCCTCAACAGCCGGAGCTGGGCCGATCCAAAGCCAGGAGCCTGGAGCTTCTTCTGGGTCTCCCACTTGGATGCAGGGGCCCAAGGGCTTGGGCCATCTTCTAGTGCTTTCCCAGGCCATAGCAGAGAGCTAAGGGAAGTGGAGCAGCTGGGACTCAAACCAGCACCCATATGGGATGCCGGCACAGCAGGCAGCGACTTTACCCACTACGCCACAGCGGCGGCCCCTTATGTGTATTTTCACGCCATCCTTTTCTTTTCTTCTCTTTTAGTTTACAGTATTTGCTTTCTGTCCTCCATGTAACTTTTACCCCTTTTATCTTTCATATTCCCCTATGTCCTGATGTGATTGATTCCTTTCATTTTCTTTGCTTGTCTGATCATTTTTCCAATTAAAGTTTGTGGAAGCAGAATAATTACAGTTCCCTCTTAATGTTATGGCTACTCTATAGTCAGTCCATGGTGGCCCATACACAGTAAGATCTGTTTGTAACTTAGGGTCATGGTGAAATGCCAGAAGGTATTATTTGTTTAATAAAAAGCTCTGTAAAATATGTTTGGGAATATTCACTAGTCATTTCTTTCTCTTACAACTTAGTCTTGAAAAAATCTGTTCAGTACCCCATCAGCTACTCTCAGGCATAGATATTTCTCTAAGTACTAGCCTTTCCTTACCAAAATCAAAATTTACTTCTTGTATGTTTTATTTATTCTTGGTCAACAATTGTTTGTAGATTTCTCTTGTTAAAGTCCTCAATTGCAGAGACCATGCCTTATATGTTGTTCTTTGTCTAGGTCATCTAACAGTACTCTGTGTAGACAAAGAGCATGGGAGAATGAGAGGTATAGGGAATAGAGAAAGTCCCTCAGATAGGTCAGTGAGTCCCAAGAGATGATTTTAAAACATTAGTCTTAGTATAAACAGGAGATTGTCCTCTCTTGATCTAATCCTACTGCTCTGACAGCACAATGATCTTTGAATGAAATTCAAATGAAAATTTCAAACATCATGGCAAGTTTTTCTATGAGAAAAGCATACTGTTTCTTGGGCATTCACAATCATTTGTTCATTTTTTTCATTTTCTTAAAAGATTATGTCAAATTCGAAATTTGGGAGTTGTCTGGGGAAGTTTGCAATTTAAGCTTCAAGGAAACAGAGTTCTTGTTTTCTTTACTGCTGTATTCTTAAGGCCTAGCATATGGAGTTGATGAAGAAACTGATTTATAGAGAAATATTAGCACATGTTAAAGATGTACTTAGATAAGTTCAAGAATAATGGAGGATCACTGAGCAGACAACAGTTGGATTTCAATTGAGATTTTTAATTTAACTTTTTTATTATGAATATAGAGAACAAATTGCCTGTATTTCAGACACAGTTCCATACTTCCCTCTCTAGCCCATCCCTCTCTCAACCTCCCCTCCTTCTTTCCTTTCATTTTTTCTTCCTGTAAGTTTTATACTAACATACTTTCAATTTACTTTATAATCACCAGTTTAACGCCATTGTGTTCAATAAGTAAAAAGTAGAAAGACCACTGTTCCACAGGAATATAGACACGGACTATAAACCCTGATCAAACCATGAGATAACATTTTTATGCCTTGCTTTTTAGTATTCTATATGAACTACCACATATCTGAGAAAACATGATACTTGGTTTTTTGAATCCTGGTTTACTTCACTAATGATAATGGCCTCCAGTTGCATCTGATTGATTTCAGAAGATGAGATTTCATTCTTTTTTATGGCTGAGTAATATTCTATCATGAATACAGGAAAGTAATGAGGGTATAATTTCATGTAAAAATCAGAGAGACAAAATTAATATAGAGCATTCTAAACTTTTTTAAATGGCAATATTGATATTCTTCAGGAAAAAGGTATGGTTCATCCTTGTATCAAGCTAATCCCACCCTTTGGAACAAAATAAATATTCTTATTGGTTTATTTTAATTAAGTGAGAAGCATACCTTCAGTGTATTTAAATCATTATTCCAGTTACAAGCAAATTTTTCATGGTGCATCATGACTAAGCATTTTTTGTTTCTGCTTTTCAGAATATTTCAGGTTTACAAACAGAAGCCAAACTCGTTGGACTTGAACCAGTGAGCACCTACTCCATCAGCGTTGCTGCATTTACCAAAGTCGGAAATGCCAATCTGTTTAGTAATGTAGTGAAATTTACCACCCAAGAATCAGGTGAGGCCCAGTTTTTGAGCCTAAAATGTTTCATTTTATATTCAATATTTTTCTTTCACATTCTCAGTTGATGTGTTAAAGTATTGTTGTGTTTCACCCAGTAGGAAGTTGAATGCCAGTGCATTAAGGTTAGGCTGGCTACTGTTTTGTGAAATCATATATACTCATTTGTATTGATACATGTCTATTGACATATCATTTTCCCTTTGAAACAGAGGAAGTTGAAATAAAAGATTAGTCTGAGAACCAAGTAGGCTTCCAAACATTTATTAAACTTACCTAATTCTTAAGACTGAGACAGCTAGAGAAATATTAAATGATACTTAATTGGTCGACCACGTCATCAAAACGCAAATAATCTTTTCCTTAATTTTCAACGGCACACATTTCATAAATATTCTCCTTTAGTACTGGCACCTTTATCTTAGAAAGGAAGAATGGTTGGCCGTTGGTGAATTTAGATGCGAGGAGAAAATTGTAGGTAAGTCAGAGACTGAGAGTCCTTTGAATCCCTAGTTTTACATAATGGCAGCAAGTTATTTTCTTTGACTGCTTATGGTTTGTTATCTAAAAATTAACTGCATGCAATTTTCCTTTCATCACTCTTTTTTGCTGTAATGAGAAAACTTATCCTATTAACACTAACATTAGGGGATATTTCCATAGGAAGTAACCAGTCTCTTAAGTAAAGTTGATTTAGTGATCTGGGATATTGCTCTTAAACCATGTTTTCCAAATATAGTGGACCACTGAGAAACTGGGTTGTTCTCCAGTAAATTTAGAAGAGTTGTAGAAGAAAAACTGTGACTCCATCAGTCTCCTCTCCAGTGACTTCCACGAAGGTACTGGAGGAGGAGTTCTTTAGGAGTCTGCCAGAGAAATGACATCACTATATAGGCAGGAGGCCTAACTTGGTCATGGATTTCCTAATACTGCTAAGCCCAGATGTGCCACATGAGGAAGATACCTATACTTTTTTATCATGAAGTTCAATAATAGAGGATTGGCAAGGTTATTCCCTTCTGGTTAGAACAGGCATCAAGCACTCTCTGGGCTTGAGGCTACACGGTTGTTCCCAAATATTTGAGGATGTGATTGGTGCTGGGACCTAAGAAAATACTCAGGGATTAGTTCAATTACTGTAAGAATTAAGGAGATAGTATAGCAAGTGAGCCAACAGCAATTTGATTCACCCTGTGCTAAGACTATTTTGAATACATATCAAAAGTTGATATATTAAATTCTTACTCTGTATTCCTAAAAATGATTTTATCCTGCAGTGACATAAGTAAGTGGCTTCCCTACTACATGGGTATAAATCTCAACTTTGGTCATTTATTTCTCTCTCAAGTTCCAGATGTTGTACGGAATATACAGTGTATGGCAACTAGCTGGCAGTCAGTTTCAGTGAAGTGGGATCCACCCAAAAAGGCCAATGGAATAATTACACATTATTTGATAACAGCTGAACAGAATTCCACAAAAGTCTCTGCCCACGATCACATGTATACTTTCCTAAAGCTCCTGGCCAATACTTCCTATATCTTCAAAGTAAGAGCTTCAACCTCAGCTGGCGAAGGGGATGAAAGCACCTGCAATGTCAGTACACTGCCGGAAGCAGGTAACTACTGTGAAACACATAACTATTCGTGGACAACATCATGCATTTGCTGATGGCACTTGTAATCTTTATAGCACATTTATCTAAGATGTAATAGGCATGTTACATATGCTTGCTTTTCCAACCCACGTCATACCTGAGAACCTACTGTGTAATACATTGGCCCTACTCCACAACCTTGGGATATTGAAAGGAGGGGAAAGAGAGAGAGAGAGTCTGCTTTACTCTGTTTCAAACAACATTAAAATCTCTGACTTATGCAATTATACTTTAACATAATTCAAAAGATGGGAGGCATGAATATATGAACGTATGTATATTCTGGGATTCTGGAGACTTCCCTGAACTCTGTGGCTACTCTGGCTGTAGGATCAGTGTTGTCTTCATCTACTTCCTTCTCTATGTACTAGCATTTGTCTGTTATGTTATTCAAATAAAATTGTCCAAATCATTATGCTCTAGTCTAAAAGAGAAAACTCATGCTTTCCCTAAAAGAGCTCCATCCTTTGTCAACATCTCCTTCATCCTCCTTTCCCTGTCAGTCTACCTGCATATGTAAATTAAACCTTTGTTTCCTGATAAGTCACTTCCCTGGATGTCCACTCTTATGAGGACTATGGTTATTGGCACTTTTTTTTTTTCAACCTGTGGTCCATCCAGATCCTCTGTCTTGGAAATACCTGCCAACCTTCCCCCTCGTTTGAGCATCTCATTTTTGCACTTGTTTCTCTTCTTGAGATCAGGAGCTTGAAGACTGGTCTGTGGCATCTCTGAAGGCAGCATCCAGTTCACGCTTTCCTGCTTAGTGTCCAGTGCACTGTTCCTTCTGACTGTGGTGTTGTCCCACTCCAGGCACAGCTGCTCTCCAGCAACACCATTCTGAAACCTCAAAGCATGTCATCCTCCAGGAAGAATCCTAGCACAGGGAAGAGTCCACTGTTTGTTTTCTCTAAAATGCTGGCTGCTGAATATTGCTTGCAAAAAAAGGTTCTATTTTGTTCAGCTATAAGTTTATCTTTCACAGCTGTCCTGAATGCTCCATAATGTTTTATTCATTATTTGTTTCTACTCTACCATTTTTCTTTTTTCCTTTACTTAGGAATAAATTCATTTATTTTTTAAAACATTCTATTTTTAAAAAATTTATTTAAGGTATACAAATTTGATGTATTTCACATAGACAGATTTAGGGACAGAGTGATACTTCCCATCCTACCCTTCCTGCCACCCACATTCCCACCCGTCCTTCTCCTCCTCCTTCCATTCCCTCTCAATTATAACAATGATCTGATATCAATTTACTTTATACTCATAAAATTAATGCTACATTAAGTAAAGAGTTCAACAAATAGTAAGAAGAAAAAACACTTTCTCGACAGTAGAGACAAGGGCTATAAACAATCATTGAAACCCAAAATGTTAATTTCACTCCTATACATTACATTTTTGATAATCTTTTAGTCACCACAGATCAAGTGGAACATACGGTATTTGTCTTTCATGAACTAGCTTATTTCACGAAATGTAATGGTTTCCATTTGCATCCATTTTGTTGCAAAAGACAGGCTTTCATTCTTTTTTATGGCTGAGTAGTATTCCATAGTTTATATGTGCCATAATTTCTTTATCCAGTCATCAACTGATGGATATCTAGAGTGATTTCCTATCTTAGCTATCGTGAATTGAACTGCAATAAACATAGTGGAACAGATTTGCTGATTTCATTACCCTTGGGTAGATACCCAGCAGTGGGATGGCTGGGAAATGCGTGTTTTCCGCTTTCTGAGGTACCTTATCCTGTCTTCCACAATGGCTGTACTAGTTTACTTTCCCACCAACAGCGGATTAGGGTGACTATTTCCATGCATTTTCGCCAGTGTTTATAGTTTGTTGATGTCTCTAGGAGAGCCATTCTAACTGAGGTGAGGAAAAACCTCATTGTAGTTTCTATTTGCATTTCCCTGATGGCTAGTGATCCTGAGCATGTTTTCATGTGTGTGTGGGCCATTTGAATTTTCCCTGTTGAAAAATGCCTGTTCAAGTCCTTTGTCCACTTGTTCACTGGATTGTTGTTGTTGAGTTTCTTGAGCTCTTTATAGATGCTGTATATTAACCCTTTTTCAGTTGCATGGTTTGCAAATATTTTCTCCCATTCTGTCGGCTATGCTATCAATTTTCATAGCAAAATTATTTTAATTAAGATTAACTCATAAAAAACATAAGTATTAATTGCTGATTCGAAATGTTTAGCTATCTTTTCATGTTTAAAACTAAGTTTTGGAAGGTAGGCATTTGTCCTCATGGGTATGATACCTGCAATCCGCACTGGAGTGCCTTGCCTAATTCCTGGCTCTCTACTCCAGCTGTCTGCTGTTGCAGATTCTGGGAGACAGCAGTGATGAATCAAGTAATTAGGTTTCTGCTACCAGCTTGGGAAACCTCGATTAATTACCCAGCTTCCAGGCTCAGCTTCTCTGTCCTCTTTTTTTGCAGGCATTTGAGGGAGTGAACCAGTGGATGAATAGGAACTCCCTCCCTGTCTTTCTCTCTTTCTTTGTGTGTCTCTGCCTGTTAAATAAAATAAATTTGTCTGTTAAATATTTAAAAATAAATTTTTAGGTCTAATATATAATTATATTTATGAATAAAATACTTATTAGATAATTTGTCTTTTATACGGGTTCACATGAGTTGTTTGTTGATTAAAAGTTACTAACAACTGGGAATTCATTGTTCAGGATAGAAATATTTATAGCTGTTACAAATTTCTAATTTATGGTAGTCTAAGATTAGTCACAGTGTATAGCCAGCTCTGAGTTACTGACTCCTTATTTATTTTTGATACTGCTGGTATCTGACCTTAACATTCCTTTCAGGAATTATTGGGTATTTTTTTTTTTCAGTGTAAATTTGCTTGTATCATGAGGAGCTAAACATACATCATGATGATTGAATTTATGAGATTAGTGTTTGGTGCCTAAATTGGTGCTGCTGTCAAAAACACATTGGGATAGGACAGCAGAGAAGAAAGTTCCCAAACCCAGTAATTTTAGTAACATCTTAGCCCAAAATATATCATAAATACCAACAAAAATAATGAAGCCAATCCATGTGCATGTAAGAGTTACATTCATGCAAATATTTATATTCTTATCAAATCGAACATACTCTTCTTGTAGAAGATAATTTTATAATTTGGGTTTATTCAAAACTTTTTCATGTTCCATAATTTTGAATCAGAAGGAAAAATGAGCTACGTGATTCAGCTATTGAAGGAAAGTAAAATGTATGGTGGTGGTTTTAGGAATGTCCTTCTCGGCACCGATTTCTTTATTAGCTCTCTGTTCAATGGAAGGTTATCAGGCATGTGCAGGAAGCGACTGGAAATCCACTGAGATTGCAACTATAGTCATGGTACCATATGAGAACCTGGCAATGTACTAATTTTCCCTGATTTTAACTATTCTCTTTCCTTTACTATCCTTGGACTGAATAATAGCATACATGTGAACTCTCAGTATTGTTCTGCAAAGCTTTGACCCCTTCCTAAACATATTTAAGAAAGGTATTTGTCACACACTTGGAGATCCCTATTGTGTAGATCACCCTAGGCAGTGTAGGGATTAGTTGGCAAGCTATGATTATGACTAAATCTGATCTCCAATTACTGACTCATTTTTAAAAGAAAATCCTTATAAAATTTAGAATAATTCAAAGCATTTTCATATCCTACTTAGTAAGTTGAATGTGAGTGGTTGAAAGTGTTTTTCATTATTTCAAAATATCAACCTAAGTCACAAATTCACTTTACCTTTGTTTGCCTCCCACTTACATTGCTCTCCTCACTCATGCTCTGAATTGAAGAGCAGTCATAAAACTGGGAAACTATATGATAACATTTGTTCTTAAGCAAATAAATTACCTTGTTAATAGCATAATAGACCTGCAAGAAGTAGCTATTAGCATTGCTACTGATTGAAATTCAAATATTTTATAAAATAGCTTTCATGCAGATCTCATTAAGTAGAATAATCTTCAGCATGGAAATAAGTATCATTTTATATGTCTCATTTTTGCTGTGAACAGTTGACCAATGTTTATTCATTTATTGTATGTTACGTACACCCAAGTCTGAGTGGCAGATGGCATTGACATTCTCTATCTTGCTTATACAAATAACTACTGTTCTCATCAAAACATTTCCATTGCATATAAAACAATTAAATATCACGCTATATAATACATTCAGTTCTATAGCTTGAAGAGTGAGTCAAAAAGGAATTCAGGAGAAATATCTTTCAAGTCTTTATTGAATTAGAAGAATGTCAGTTGCATGCTACTTATTGGTAGCTTTAGAAATGCTTTATAAGAGAGGCTTAATTCTAGTAGCTAATTGGAAACGTGAGATGATACTTGTCTTTAACCTTGAATTTCATGGGCAGGTACACTGCCATGTACTTAGATTGATATCAATCAATAAAATATTCAAGGTCTATAAACATTCTATCTTGTTCCTCAGTATTTTATGAGAAACTATCATTTCTAAATAACAAAAGAAGTTCTTTCTACTTGCAGAATCTTAGAGAGTGGAGTTAAGGAAATCAGATTACTGATGGCCTAAAGCATTCATGGTAAGGTACCCTGTGGTGCCAATATTATTCATAGAACTAGTGAGCTCAAAAGATAGGGAAAAGTTAATAGATGTTCAAATACAAAGAGAGAACAAATAGGGAAGAAGGGAAAGTGGTACAAATGTTTGGGCTGGGATGGAAGCCTGACTGGAATAGAAGATATTTCATTGGGAAGATTATAGACAAGATGGTTGGAAAACTGAAATAGACCCCATTCTGTTCTTAGTTTTGCATGACTGTCACAAAAGTTTGAATATGGTATAATGGAAAATTAGACACTGCTAAATTCAGAGTAGGAAACAGCACGAGTAATCTTTTCTTAAATAGAGATTGTTATACTCTGGTTTCTCTTCAGATCGTATAAATCTT